TATTATGATTATTTTTTACTATTTGCATGTTTATCCATTGTTTAACACTGTTATTGCTCTATATTGGTAACTGGGATTGAAATATTCATGATTAAGCACAGAAACATTTTTGTCATCAGTAACTTTTTGCTCAACCATGGAATCTGATAGTATGAGACCTAAAAATTTTTTTGTTATTTTCATTTTTGCAGAAATTTGTGTCCAGGCAAGCACTGAATGGTCATATTCGTGTCCATGGAGGAAGGTAAATATATCTTTTCAGTAATTTTCTTGATGTAAATTGCAACGGCTTTTCCAAAAGCATAGTTGAGAAACAGTAGTAAACCAGTGTGATGTTGTGACTTAAAATTCACTTTGAATTGGTGAAACAAACCAATTGAATTGTATAATGTTGCTTACATTTATTATGGCTTAAACCATCTAATTATTAAGGTAAAAATAATGACAATCTCTGTGACTGGTAGAGAAAGAGCCAAGAGTTTTCTGGATCAATTACATAAATACAATCCTGCATTACATTAATACTTAACTGAAAATTGCTCTTTGAAAAGAATGCTTCCTAATACAAGATTTGAAGCTCACTTTCCATGAGCGAGCCAATGGGTTTCTTAATAGCTATACTTGTTCTCTTTTTAAATGAGTTGTTTTTGTGCACCTGAATTCAATCAATGAATGTTTGCTCCTAATTTCACATGATAACCACAATATTCTCAACAGCTTTATGAAGCCTTCGGAACCAAACAGACGTAAGAATCGAAACACTGCAGGTTCATCTGCCTCTAATGGAACAAATTCGGCACCTGTTGTTAGGAAGAGGAAGTCTCCATCACCAGCACCTGCTTCAGTGCACCCTGATTTAAATAATCCAGATGGGCAATTACCTGAGTTTGCATGTAAAGTCTGTGGAAGGTTAGTAGCTCTCTTTCTTAGGTTAACGCTAAAGCATGATCAGTACCACCTTGCATTTGAACTGATATTCCATTGAGCTATTTCAAGCTTAGCTGGGCTATGATAGAGACTGTGCTTAGCCAGGGTCTGTGCTTATCTAAGGCCAGCACAAAGCTAACGTATAGTTTCAATATTTGAGTTATATGGTCACAACTTACAACACACTTAAATCAATATTCTACTCACTTGAGTACATTTTACAACATTACTATTCATATTTAACACACAATCATGCAGTTGTGGTGTTATATTCCCATGATGAACTCATTGTTAACCCTTTAACTCTCAGAAATGATAGACATGTAACTTCCCCCTAAAATATTCATACATTATCCAGGAAACAGTTAATGAGAATAGTCAAATTTATCAGGTAGAAGTTGTTATCTCTTAATTCTCATGACTAATTTATTAGGAAATGTGTAGCAGCTGAAGGGGAGAATTGGGAATTAAAGGGTTAAAGATATGACACTACAGCTATGGCCTGCCCTTAGCTAGGGCCTGTGTTTGGCAAGGGCCTTAGCTGAGAGGGTGTTGCTTTCCTTTTTCCCAGGTCTTTTTTTCTTTTCCAATGCTTAGTTGTCTTTCAAGTGATTGTTTTTGTGCTGTGGCTATCAAAGAAACTTTGATTGCTTGATGTCAAAAGTTATCAGGATCACCAATGTAAATCAAGTTATTTAACCAAGTGCATTTCAATTAGTTGTGTCTGTCACAATTCTAATACACTTCTCAATCCACTTGCAGAATATTCCACAAGATAAAGAGCAGGTCAGCCCATATGAAGACTCATGTTAAGAGACCAGATGATGATGAAAAACTTTCCTCAAAGTTGCCTTCCAAGAATCACTGATGCTAGTAACTTGAATCTAAAAGAAAATTGAACCAGTTCATATAAAGTATCCCTTCCACAGTTTGACTGTTAATGACTATTTATGTACATGATATAGCTAAGTTATTCCTAATTTATATATTTTTTGACTTAAAGTCATGTGGTGAGAATGATGAAATTTTCACCATTTGGTTCTGTATTTAGCCTTTGAAGAAGAAGAATTCTTGTATGGTAACAGAAGTTTTGAAATTTGTGCTCTAGCAGTATAGCCGTAGACATTTATGGCTGCATATAAGCTTGTCGTATCTCAAGTTGTATTTATATGGTTGAATAATTTTGTGCTCTGGCGAACTGGCCGGACAGAAATAATATTTTTTGTTATGGAAATTTCTACGGATTATGTAATGTGAAATTTTGTTGTGCAATCATTCCCAGATCACCCAGATCAAGAGTGACAGCTCTTGAGTGTTAAAGTCAAGTTCAGTTTCAAAATATTGAATATATAACTTGAGTATGCCAGTCCACTAACTTCTTTCCTGAATGGTATTTATGAAATCTTAACTTTTATCTGCATGGAAAAATGCCTTCCCAGCCTTGTTGAAAAAAGATTTTTCTTCCTTTAAACAAGGCTAAGAAGTTTTATTTGCATGCTGTAAAGGAGAATAATCAGTCTAGCGTTGTGGAAGAAGTGTGAAGTGGTTCTTTTCTCACTCTTTTTTTATCTTTATGGGTGAAACAAAGATTCCAAAAATAGAAATAGTTAAAAATCAGAAAGTTCTAAATCTTTGAAGGTCTAAATCTTTGAAGGTCTACAATGAATCATGAGAGGGTTTAATCCTCTCCTCTAAGTAGTGTCCATGACTCCTCAAGCTGTGGTCTGTAGATGGGAATCTGGGAATGAGTCATATTTTCATTGTGCATTGGCAGAGTTGACCTTTGTCTTTTCAGCAAAAGTAACCGCATTTTAAAGTGATAAGCTCTATTTTGTTTTGTTAGGTCTTGTAAACAAAACACTTGTTGCAGTGCAGCAGATTGAAGGGTCTTGTAAATAGTTTGAATTTAATTCAATAGACAGACATGTGTTAAAAGAACCTCTCTTTCTTTGAAGTCATACCATTTTGACAGCAGCTTCCTCTGGGTTCTGTTCCTAAACATTCACAGTCTGGATTTTGTTACTGAGTTGTCTAGTAAAAAAATCTGAATTTATGGTAGTGCTGTCAACCAAGTGTATGTTTTTTTTTTATGTTGCACACTTAATTTGTTCTTTAATCATGTTTTTTGTGTTCAGGATGTTCTGAAGGCATCTGACTCTCTTGCGTCACTGATAATTTTTTGGTTCTGGTTCTGCTCTGATTGATTGCAAAGTTAGTTGTACACTTTCTTTGAGAGAGTTAAAAATTATGAAAAGTTAATATATGTCAGAAATTATTTGTTGACGTTTTTTTAGAAACAGAAAATGTTTGGGTTTACTTCTTAATCAATTTGCTAAAACAGTTTTTTGATGCACCTGTTATGAGCTGGAAAAAGGCTCCACATACAAACCTGAAATTGGACCTGAATATCCAATATCAGACAAATTGGTAATGTTGGATTGACTAATCTGTACATAGGAGAGATGTGAATACTTCAGACAGTAAAAAAGACTCTAATAGAGTGCAAACTTAAGTGTTAAGCACGGTGTACATTTGCAATTTCTCTCAGAAAACTAAGGAGAAGTTACTTAATGTAAAAAGAGCTGCAATGCTCTGTTTTCTAGCAACAGTGTTGTGGTAGATATTGGAATAAAGCGTGTATTTATTGGTTCTATATAAATGGTTTTAGATTTTATGGAGCTATACAAGTGAATCTTGTAAGACTGAGACCAAAGTTACCACTACGGTCAGTAAGGATTGTGGGAAACATTGCTAGGAACCAATGAAATCTCAAAGTTTAAGAAAAATGTCTTCTAAAACCAAGTCAAGACTGGGTTAAGTTTTACATCTGATTGGTAGAGAATGGCTTGAGTTTTCTAGTCCAAGCACAACCGTTGTAAAGCAAAATGAAAGCGATCACCAACTATTTTGGAAACTCACCCGAAAAGCGCTCAATATGTTGTTGCGTCCAGATCTGTCCAGATATCGTGCTTTTGGTTTGTCTCAGTCAAGTATTAAAACAACCACAAAAGCTAGTTAATTTTAAAGATGGTATTCCAAAAACGTTTGACTTTTTTTAAGGCTCAAAACAAAATGCTAAGTTAAAAGAATAGCTAATTTACAAAGTATAACACTTCATCACAAAGCTTATTTTCTTAACGGCATCTCGAAGAGGTCACATTAGCGCTGAGAATAACGTGAATTCTTCGAAACTCTCTCAACATTCTGAAACCTGGAGTTTGTCGAGCGTAGTTTCTATGTTGTCTTTTTATCCATTCATGTTTTGCAAAACCTTTAGAATATGTGGTAAAATTTCCGCACAGCCCCATCCTACATTATGCATTCAGTTCTTGAACAGAGGAAACAATGACGAAAACAATACATTTCCGTTGGGAAAACAGATTTGTTTTACAATAATATGGGGCTGTGCGGAAACTTTACCATAATTTCACACCAAAATTACACAACACGAAATTAAAGTACCATTTTATAACATCCATTTTGAAATTGTGGAACTCAGTCGCTCAAATAGAGGCTTTTGTAGTCCGTAAAATACTTTATTGATCCAATACTAAGCTGGTTTGTTAGAAGTTACAAAAGTTGTCTTTTTTGCATGGGAAATTTCTGCCAGATCTCCTCGCGCGTGCCCGGTGTTCGACCCTTTGTTATCAAAACGCGCCTCTCAGCAAGACCGCAGCCATTCTATCGCAACTGTCCTTTCAAAGTTTTCCTCTGAATTCCTCTCCTTGTAACTGTCGTTAATTTCTTTTCAGCCATGGCAATATTACGCGATGACGCAGCGAATCATTTCGAATTTCAACTTTACTGCCACAAATGAAGAAGGTTTCGATCGGAGGAAGGTAATACAAACTTCAACAAATTCTTCCATGCATCAGCGGCACTTTAAGCTGTTTTGGATTTTTGTATACCACGACGGTTGATTGACAAATGATCTAGACGTACCTAAGGCACCCCTTTTTTATAGCGCGCCACCGGAAACATTATGACGTCAGAAAATAGGACCTACCCTCTCGGAAATCACGTGATGACATCACGCGTCACGCTACTTCTGATCTCATAGTGCGTGACAACCGTTGATCACAAGACGGTCACAGTCGATTATACCGTCGCTGCGAATTTTGTTGTGACTTCCAGAAAAAAAATCTTGCGGTCTCTCATATTGATCGTAAAGGTTAGTTCATACCTTAGGTCACTTATTTGCAAAACCGCATCCTCTTCAAGCAACAAACTGAACAATGTTGTTGGCTGACAGTGTTCCTTTTTCGCTGAAAAAAGGAATTTGGGTCTGTCCGAACGTAGTTTCGTATTTTTAAAGTATGAAGTTAATTGTCTGAATTATGACCTTTTCTGCTCCTCGCAGTGAATCAATAGATTGCACCATTAGTCAAATCGTGACGTTCAGTCGCACCAGGGCAATGATTTGTTTTGGGGTGAATTTACCAGTGATAGCTGATATTAAGGATATACTATGTCCGCTTCGGGCTGCGTGATTTTAACCAGACTGCCTTCAACGGCAAGAACTTAAGTTTACGAAAACCTGTTATTTCAAAATTTTGTGCAGGAAGATTCTCTCCAGATTCCCACACACAAAGCTGCACCTCTTGCACTTGAGGGGCTTCTCAAGTTGACGTAATGGCCCACCCCACCCAACCCCTATCAAACATCTTTTCTTTTCGGAAGCAACCTTAGAAACCGTTGGGCGGCTTAAGTGAGGCTGAAACCAGATATTGATTTCTATAGAGCAAGATGACAAGCATCCAACACTTTCAGCCTCATTTTATTTGTCAGCCCATCCCCATAGTTTGCCCTGGTACAAACTTGGAGTAGAAGAAAAGAATTGGACGAAACCTCTACCCTTTTTTCTTCATTTGCCCTTTTTCTTTGTATAATATACAGACCAAATACCAACCTGTCATGACTGGGATATGGAGAGCAAGTTCCGCTGGTATAAGACTGTCAAACCAACTTTCCAAATGTGTGTGTCGCTGTTTGGGTTCATCATCTGTACAGCTCAGCAAGTTTGTGATGAAAGGTATTGAAGAGAAATCAGGAAAGAATATGCTGAATGTTACTTGGCAAGATGACACTTCAAATGCATATCCCTACATATACCTTCGGGACAACTGCCAATGCTCACAGTGCTATTTCAAGGATTCTAATCAGCGCCTTGTAGATGTCGTAAGAGATGTTGATCTGAATGTCAGACCTACCAATGTTGAAATGAGTGAGGATGGAAGTAAACTTTCAATAGCATGGCCAGACAAACACGAAACCACACTCGACGCTGACTTTCTGTTCAGGAAGCGGCTACCAACTGAAGCAGAGTTAAAAGACAGAGTTTGTGAGGATGTAACTACTAGGAAAGTGAACCTTTGGGGAAGTAAATTTAAGGACCACATTCCTCAGATGAAATATCATGACATTCTTCAAGATGAGATGGTGGAGTTTGAATTTTTAAACAGTTTGTATAGATATGGATTGGCCCTGGTCACTGACATGCCAATTCAAGACGGGCTGGTGGAAAAGCTAGGGGAACACATAGGTTACTTGAGAATGACAGCTTATGGGTAAGGTTCATTGTCATTGAGTCATTTAGTCAGTTGGTCAGTCAGTCAGTCAGTCAGTCGGTAAGTTGCTCAGTAAGAAATTTAGTCATTCAGTCAATCAGTCAGTCAGTAAGTTGCGCAGTCAGTAATTTGGTCCTTCAGTCAGTTGGTCAGTCAGTCAGTAAGTTGCTCAGTAAGTTATTTAGTCAGTCAGTCAATCAGTCATTCACTTTTTCATTTGCAATGTGACTGTATTAACATTGGAAGACTGTTATTTATCAACGATTTCTAAATTAACATTTGGAATATTTTCTCATAGGAAAACAATAGTGGTATCAACAAGGCTACAGGCCAACAGTGTTGCCTATACAAGTTACACATTGCCTTTACATTCTGATCTGCCGTACTATGAAGCCAAACCAGGGGTATGGAAGATAACTTTTGATAGTGAATTTTATGCGGTATTTGGTTTGAACTCTAGATAACATTTGATTGTGTAGTCTGATCGTTCAGGTGAGCGTAGTCTGGAGAAGGAAAATTGACAGTGGCAGTGACTGAAGTTTCAACAACCTTAGCATGTAATGTTTTTTTTATGTATATTACTAACAAGAAAATGCATTGAGGTCAGAGGGGAGGATTACTAACTATATCATGTGGGATGAATCTTTTTGTGTTTTAACCCACACTGATGTGGTGGAGTTTACAATGGAATTGTAACTAGATCTGATGTGAACGCTGTGGCATGGTAGTAACGATAATAAGTTTTATTTAATATCTTATTCATTCAGACTTGAATAAAAAGTTTGGTGTCGTGAGGATGACCTTTTCTAAGGTGTTTTATCCCTTAGTAAAGAGAGAAATCAAATTTGAATTGAAGAACATTTAAATCTAAATGATTTCATTTTTTTATTTTGGTATAAATTATTTTAGATACAGATGCTATTTTGCAAGGAACAGACTCCAACTGAAGGAGGAGAAAATTCCCTGGTTGATTCATTTCATGTTGCTCAGCAATTAAAGAAGGAAGATCCTGGCGCTTATGAGTTGCTCACCACAACTCATATTCTTTTCAGAACAAGTGGAACTGACATACTTGGTGAATATGATTTGGAAGGTGCAAGACCACTTCTTGAGTAAGTTGTCAGATGTTATGTGAATGTGTACCAACCCTTCAAACCTTAATCCTTTGACCCCTAAAAGTGACCAGCATCTAATTTCTCCTTACAATATCACCCCTGTATCACACATTAAGGTCATGAGAATAAAGGAAATGATCACCAACTGAAGAAGCTCTTGAACCCTTTGACCCCTTAAGAGTGACTAGCATCTAATTTCTCCTTACAATATCACCCCTGAATCACACATTAAGGTCATGAGAATAAAGGAAATGATCTCCAAATGAAGTTCTTGAATCCTTTGACACTTAAGAGTGACTAGCATCTTATTTCTTCTTACAATATCACCCCTTGTTAAGGTCACAAGAATTAAGGAAATGATCACCAACCAAAGAAGCTGTTGATTGTTAAACAAATTCTCCTTGTCAGCACCTTAGGAAATTAACAGGGAACATTATGGAGAATATGCATATTGATGTAAGTGTGGAAAGGGTTAAGGGTGACTAGCATCTAATATCTCTAACATCAGTATCACCCCTTAATCAACTATCAAGGTCAAGAGGATGAAGGAAATGATTTCCAACCTAAGAAGCTTTAGATTATTGAACAAATTCATCTTCTCAGCACCACTATGATGGGAAATGTGTAGTAAACAATATGGAAATTATACATTTTAATGTTAAGGTTTAAAGATTTAAGGAAATAGTGTGGTTATAATTGAAAGATTATGTTAATCAATACTATTGATTTTGTACTAAATCATTTAGTTCTTAATTTCATTTGCAAGTTTGAAATAACAAAGGTTGTCAAACCTTGATCACAATAAAGTATACTTAGCAGAGTGATGCTATTTTTTTCATCTCTGATAAATTGAAGAGACACTGTGCAGAGGAAAAATAACAACCATAAAAAGACTGAATCACTGTGAGATTCTGGCAGCACTTGAAAGCAATTAAACATTTTATTAACCCTTTACACCCTAACATCAGTATACTCATTTCCATGCTGTTCTCTAATCATTTCCTAAGATGCCGACATGGAAAACTTGTCTAATAATCAAGAGCTTCTTTATTTGGTGATCAGCTCCTTTATTCTCCTGACCTTAATGTGTGATTCAGGGGGGGTATGGTGAGGAGAAATTAGAGGTTGGTCACTCTTAGGGGTTAAAGGGTTAACTGCATTTGTTGTTAAGGTTTATGACCCAGAAAAAGGCATTTTGCAAAATTTATTGCAGGATTTTTAAAATAAAGCACATAGTTCTAGGTTTTAAGATGGCTCCTCAAATCAAACCCCAAATCATAATTCTGACTATTTAGCTATCCCACTTGTTAAATAATGCAATATTTATTTTTTGGAATCTTTTAGGCTAGATCATCATGGCAGACTATTACGATGCAACCACAATGAAGGCTGTAGACTGGACTTTTTGGGTGTGCCAGCAGAAAAAATCCATGAGATGTACAAAGCCTATTATTCATTAACCAAGAGATTGAAAGATCCTAAAAATATGTTTCTTCACAAGCTTTCTCCAGGAGAGATGATTGTGTTTGATAATGACCGTGTCCTCCATGGAAGGGAGGGGTACACTCTTTCAGAGGAAGGGGGTAGATGTTTGGAATCAGCATACATTGACTGGGATGTAGCAAGGTCCAGATTGAGTGTCTTAGGGAAGAGACTTGGTAAGGGTCCTGTGGCCAGAATGGACAGTAAACTTAGTGTTACAGGACAGTGGTCTGTGTCATGAAATTACCATGTGCAAAAATATTCAACAATAATTATTTGCTAGAGGTGAATTGAACATGGTGCAATAGCTCTCAGTACAAAAGAAGGGATTATTCAAAAACATTCCTTACCCTGAGGCAAAGAATTTTTTTTTGTATTATTAAATGAGTGATTTTTTCAAATTATTTTGTAGACTCCAGAAATATCAATGATTCATGGAACACTTATTTGGCACTTAGTGCTTCAGTATGTTTGTGAAGAATAAGATGTGATTTAATAATATATAATAATAAGATGTGATTTAATCTACAACAAAATTATTTTGTAGACTCCAGAAATATCAGTGATTCATGGATTCATGGAACACTTATTTGGCACTTAGTGCTTCAGTATGTTTGTGAAGAATAAGATGTGATTTAATAATAGATAATAATAAGATGTGATTTAATCTACAACCAAACTCGATAAGCTGAAAACCACTCCGCTTTGCATCGTGGTTTCCTACACTTATCTCGTGTTCTCCCAACCTCCCAAGTGTTTACATCAGGCTATGTAAACACGGAAACCATTTTACATTTCTTCAATTTATACTGGCCAACTTATCTTCTATCAAAAGGCATTAGTTTTTTCTTAGGATTACTTGGATTTTCACTAGAGGACCTTACCATATCTGAAGATAAAATTTGTATAGTAATATAACAACACTGATGTTGGTTATAAGTATTCTAACCCTGTATTAAAAAGAGAGCATCCAAAGCATATTGGAAAAGAGAGTAATGAGGGTGGTGAAAAAAACAGCAATCAATTTGCAAGAAAACTCTGTTTTAACTTGTTTTATTAATTACTTCTTGAGATAAATCTACATGTGGTTTGTAATACACAAAGTGTTATTACTGTGTTCCTAATATATATACATTTCAGGAAATTGGAATTAAATAATTTTCACTTACAGGATGTGACCTGATGGTCTCTCATATGTCTGGCATTTCATTTGCTTCTCTGGGTAGTATTTGTTTCAACAACTCTCCAACAGCCTTCTAGCTGTGAAACATCTTTAAACTTAGAGAAGAAATTTTCTGTTATGTTTTGATGTCATGCCTACCAGCTAAACCTCTTTCCATTCTCTTCAGCTGTATGTTGGATAATACATCAAACTTATTGGCAGAAATTATTAAAATAATTTCGACAGCAACCTCATAGAACTACACTATCACAGACGTTTATACTATAAACAAATGTCTTAAATTTTTCAAATGACATAATTCACTGTCTTTGTTAAATAAAAGATATTAGTGGCACATAATTTATAATTTACTCACATGTGGCATGAGAGAACAGAATTACATCAAAATCACAAGGAACAATCATGGTAACTTGTTACAAAGGGTTTAGTGTTTACAAGTAAGGAAATTTTGTTTTGAAATTTCATAATCATATCATAGCCAATTGTTAAGTGAGTATTCCTGAAACTCTCACGACCTGCATGAGAGAAAACATTTCTTCTGGTAGATCATGATCTGATATGAGTTAAGTATAATTTTTAAGAAACTAAAATCTCTTTTTTGAAGTGTTGTTTTTACTTGATTTTACACCTCAGTCTATAAAAAAAATAATTGGTTATAAGACATTAAACTCTTAAAATAAATAAAATTGAGAATTGTGAGTAGATAATCTTGCAATAGTCTTTTGGTCCATGGAATATGACTACATATTAAATAATTTTCTAGTTTACAAAGGGAATAGCTTTCCCAACATTTTTAAAGATCTTTAGTACCCTCTGAACTGCCATGCTTGTAAAACTCTACAAAGTTGGAAATCCTTCTAATGGCTTTTACCAAATGTATACAATTTAAATGAATTTTTGGCTGTAATGTGATGACTCAAGTGAGGGAAGATATGTAGAACATGGCTATTGGTGTTTGATATTACAGTAATCTGAATGATTGTCAGGATCTGATAAAAAAAAAATGTTTGTGATTGACAACTTTTGCTTAAATGTTTTTTCCAGAAAAAGTTATGTGGAGTTTGTCCCCATTAAATGATTACAGTATTTTCTGTAATTCTTCAATCATCTCTCATTGATTTTCTATAAGTTAAGAAGATTATTATTAATAAATTAGGACTCAATCTGAATCTTTCTGAGATTGTGATTTGGAAGTTCCAAGGCTGACACCTGAAGAGGCCACATTCCACCAATGATGCCAGCCTGTATCGCCACCCCTGTGGCTACTGCCAGCTCTGGGTCTATGGCAACATTAGGTTTCTTTCCATTGAAGTATTCTTCAATAAGCTGCCGCACCTTAGGAATCCTCGTCGATCCTCCAACTAGAACCACTTCATCAACATCTTCTTTTGGAAGGTCAACTTCTTTCAATACCCTTTTGATGGGCTGTAGTACTTTCTGAAACAAGTCTTCATTTAACTTTTCAAAAGTTAACCTTGTGATTATTTCCTCGAAAAGGACATGTTTGTCCCCATGATCCAGAGAAGGCAGAGGCAATCTTATAGTCACTGCTGCCTCTGTTGTCAAGTTAATTTTTGTTGATTCAACTTCTTGTCTCAGACGCTGTATATCTTCAGCATTTGTGAGTTCCTGGCCAAACCTATCTTCTATAACAGACATTAGGTAAGACATGAGTCTTGAATTGAAATCCTGACCACCTAGCCGGTTGTTTCCAGCCATGGCCATAGTTACAAACATTCCCCCTTGAATGTTAAGCAATGAAACGTCCAATGTTCCACCACCCAAGTCAACAACCATAACATTAGAAACTCGTTCCTTTTTATGAAGTCCGTATGCCATAGCTGCCGCTGTGGGCTCATTTATAAGCCGTACAACTTTGATCCCAGCTAGAGAAGCTGCCTTGATCGTTGCATTTCTCTGTGCCATATTGAATTCTGCTGGGACCGACATTACAGCTTGATTCACTGCCCTGGTGATGTTTCTTTCGGCAGTTCGCTTCAACTCCCTCAAAATAGCCGCTCCGATTTCTTCTGGCGATACTAAAGTAACGTTGCCATGACTTTCGACCACGAACTTAGGATTGTTCTTTTCGTCAGAAGTGATTTTAAACTGGTAGAGAGAAGACAACTTTTGTAAGTCTTCCTTCGAAAACGTCTTTCCAATAAATCGTTTGGCATCGTATATCGTCGATCTTGGATTCAGTTCAGCTTGATCTAAGGCTCTTTTTCCCACCAAAACTCCTTCACCGGTAAAGGCAACGACGCTGGGAATGACTTTGGTGCCATTTTCATTAGCCAGTATGTCAATATGTCCTGTGATTGCTTGATAAACTCCGACGCAAGAAAACGTTGTTCCTAAATCTATGCCGATAATTTTGGGTTTGGGAGGAGGTAGACGACTTTGAGCAATGTATCCTGCGACGACAAGTGCGAAAATCCCGCCGAGAAAAAGTCCTAACGAATTACTCATCCTTCTTCAATCACCTACTTCGGCGGTTTCACCGGAAGACGAAAAGCTTTAGTTTACGACACGTACATGCGTACTGTGGGTTGCGCAGACTAAACATCCATATCTCCAGGGAGGGTAGGGTAGTGAGTTTTGCGTACAAGAAAAATAAAAGTACCCTTGATCTGCATAACTGAAGTCGAGTTTTTTGTCTCAAAGGATCAGAACTATTTTTGGGGGGGCTACAAATTACTGTGAAACTAAAACAAGAAGTGTGACCACACGGAAGAACACAGGAAACATTGATCGGAAGCTGTAATGATTGTGTTTCAAAGAAAGAGGTAATAAGACAGAGGGATCTGTGCCACCAACAGCAATAGCAATTAGTTTAAGGTTTTAATGTTTGCTTGTGTATAAGGAACTTTATTGTGATTGGTCAGTTCTCATATGTGAGCTGTCAGAATACAATCAAAAGGTTCACAGTTTCCTGGTTTTCACAGAAATCAATAATGAACAAACCTAAGTATCCTCACCATAAAACAAAGCATTGCATGATTCAAAGTGTTACATTTTATTACATTGACCAATATATTAGAGATTTTGTCACACAATTACAGATCTGTCCTTGTGATTGGTGTGGCTCAAGACATACCGTAATTAGTTCAGGTTAACACTGACTAGTGCTACCATCTTGATCATGTCTTTCAATTTTAATTTTTAATCTGGGTTATGTTTCTCAGAAAGTAATTGATTCTGAGTATTAAAGGTTCCTACCTAAGGATAATAAAAATCAACATCTGAGAGTATAGTAAGATTAGATACATCTTGAGATCTCATTAATAATTCTTCTTACTGTCTGCCATACAGTTCTTGTGATGTTAGTTTTGAGAATTTGGTATTGGATCAACTAATAATCCCCTAATTAATATTTTTCTTTATTCTCATCACTCGTCTGCTTGATATTGTATTGATATTGTAAGGAGAAATTCTGTCTTGGTCACTCATGGGAGTTAAAGGGTTAAAGGTATGATGAGTCTCTATTTTCTCCCTCAAATTATTGAGCTGCAAAGTTTGAGCTGAGCTGCCCACCTGAATTGTTTTTTAAGTGAAATTCTGGAAGAGGTATTAAACTTTTCTTTGGAGAAAATCACAAAAGTGTGGAATGCCAAGTAAATTGACCCTGATGACATAAGCTGAGGCTAGTTTAAGACTTAAGTGAATTGTCAGCCTCTGAAAATTCACTTAAAATTAAAATGTAGGACAAACAATCTGTTTGAGGTAAATTTAGGCTTGCTATCAGCTGATAGTTGACAAGTTGATGAAAACCAGACCCATTGAAATATATTGGTATCATTATTTCTAACTTTCACACTTAAGTTATTTAGATTTCCCCTATGACCAATGCATCCACCATCTCTCCTGCATCAATCCTGGTTAGAGTTTCACTCTTAGGTGGCAGCTCAAGCACTGCATTAGCACTCCTCATGCTCATTAATCTACTGCTGCATTGACTACCAGTAGATATTGCTGACGGAATAGCTTCTCCTGGCTTCCAAGACAGGGTGACTCTGTAATACTCAGGTCTTGGATCCAGGTTTACTGGTTGAGGCAACTTTGCTTTGATCTTTGTTAGATGGGGATGCTCCGAGCCAGACATCTTACGCAGGGCTGGGAGAACAAACAGGTTGAAAGTGACCATTGCAGAGACTGGATTTCCAGGAAGGGCAAATATAAGTTTTCTCTTCCCATCAATTGTGGTTGTGGCAAAGGTTGCTGGTTTACCAGGCTTCATGAAAACTCTCCCAAAATGGATAGTTGCCCCAAGTCTGTCTTGTAGAACAGGTTTTAGAAAATCTTTCTCTCCCATTGATACTCCACCAGATGAAACAAGAACATCAGCCTTTTCCAAGCCACTTTTTAGAGAGGATTCCAACTCCAGGGGTGTGTCAGCTGCTATTTTTAAATCAAGGGCCTCAAATCCATGCATTTTAATCAGCGACTTTAAAGCGATTCTATTACTGTCCCTGATTTGCCCTGCTTTGGTTTGCTCTCCTGGATTTACAACCTCATTTCCAGTAGAAAGCACAGCAACTCTTGGCTTTTGGAAAACTTCTACTTTGGTGACTCCCAGTGAGGCCAAAAGACCCAGTTCTGCTGGTCCTAGTTTTTGATTTGTTTTGAGTACTTGTTCCCCTACACTGACATCAAAACCAACTGGTCTGATATCTTGGCCAGGTTTAGGAGTTGTAAGGATTTTAACTTTCTTCTCAGTTCTTCCATCGTTATCACTTTCAAGTAATTCTGTATCTTCCACTTGGACGACTGCATCAGCACCAGGAGGCAGAGGTGCACCAGTGTTGATGCGCATCACATGGCCAGAAGTGACACTGCAAGTAGCTACTTCCCCTGCAGTGACTGCACCCAAGACCACACGCTCTCCTGGTCCATCTGAAGCTAATACAGCATACCCATCTTTGACTGATGCAGGGAAAGGGGGGAGGGGTTCTTTTGCACTGACGTTTGATGCCAGTGTATAACCTAAAGCATCTTCTATGGGTAAAACTGTTGTTGAGAGGCAGTGAGAATTATTCATGATCATAGAGAGGGCTTCATCCATCTGAACAAGTGGATATGGGGAATGGCGATCCCTCTCAGCTACTTTGCTGAGATCTTGTATTGGTTTGTTGTGAGCCTTGTGTGGACAGACATGTTGCATTGCTGAATGGGTGACACTCACATTTGGACTATTCCTTAGCACCTCTATGGCATGCGGTAAAGCTGGTAAAACAAATTGGAAACATTCTTGTGAACCTTTAACACTTCCAGGCAAATTAACAATCACTGTTCCTTTCCTTATACCACAGGTAGCCCTGGACAACATGGCCATGGGAGTAACCTTAAGGGATCCGCACAGCATTCCCAATGAGAGGCCCAGAGCAGATCTTTCGATAACTTCTGCTGTAACCTCAGGGGTGACATCTCTTGGAGAAAATCCTGTGCCTCCTGTCGTCAACACGAGGTGCAATTCTTCAACATCACTCCAGTTCAGAAGAACTCGTCTTATTTCGTCCCGTTCGTCAGGGACACAGTCATAGAGTACCTCACTGACATTCAGAGTGGAGGAATTCACCAACCTCTGCAAATTCGGCCCACTTTTATCTTCAGCTTCTCTGCGGGAGCATCTGTCGCTAACTGTTAGGACTCCCACTCTAACAGTGCCAGAGGCAGGCTCCATCCGAGTTGTAGCCATAATCTACGTCTCCGGAGGGGTTCATACGCCACGGAAATGCCCGACATCGAACGAACATTACCCACGACCAGCCGATTTTAAGTTAGTGCCCAGTGTTCCGCTCGTTCATTTTCAAAATGGCGAAAGGTAGAAAGAATAGACAACATTTGAAACAACGGCGGGTAAAGAACGATTTTAAAAAGAAATTGAAAGGCCAAAAGCGAAACCATAAAGAGATTGTAGGATCACATTCGAACGATACAGAGTAGGTGTAATTGCAATTTGTGTTTGAGCGCTGGATGACATGTTTACAATGCCCACGTGCAAATGCATTTTGTATTCTCAGTGATCTGACGGACGGATTTTGTTGTTTTTGTTTGTTCTTTAGACATGACGATGGGATTCTTGTGAAGAAACCGAAGAAGGATTCTAGCACTACTGAGGTATTCTAGCATTTCTTCATGGTTTCGCTTAGTCAAGGGTTTTAAGTATAGTATACCTCGGTCGAATGCCATGCACTCTGTTTTGGATTGACTAGTAATAGTGGTCTTTGAGGATAGGTATCCACATTAGGCAGTAAAATTCGAGAGATTCTTCCATTTGAAGGTTTTTCATCGACAGTGTAAAGTTCCATAACATTTTGACATCTTCTATGATTTATAATTGAATTGTAATATCACAGCAACGTGGAATCCTCCATTCTGTAATAATCCATTGAATAGGGTCACCTTGCAAACTGTAGGTATCGTATGTCGCAGCTATTAAGCGGCTCTTTTGGGCTTAAGTTGCTGATTCAACCGTCAAAATGCTGTTCTTCAAAGAGAAAATTCCCTCAAAGTTTCCACGATGTGTAGATCACACCTTTTGAGGTATTTTTGCAAGGAACAGTTTTATTTTTCATTACGCGTCAGTGGATGTCACTGAGATTATTTTGAGATGTTTACCGTCTTGTAATGTCAAGGCAAGAACTGAATGAATAATATCTTTGGATCTACTGGGCATAATTTGCTGATTCAAACAATAAAATGTTCTTCTTTCAAAAAAATGTTTTTCCTCTTAGTTTTCTTGATGGGTGGATTACACCTACTAAGATAACAATGAGCCATCCTGAAATGATTGTGAAATGTATATCGTCTTCTGTTGTCTTCTGTATGTAGTATATAAAAAAACAAGTGCAAGGGTGTGATCGCAGTATCCAAATATCGAGAAACAAATGAAAGCATGAGGCCACTTCCGCCAAGTGCTCTTATTTTTCTTGAGATGTTCGGATACCTCGATCAGACCTTAAGCACAAGTGTTTTAGATTGCTTCTCAAATTTGCCATATTAATTATCCCGTAAATCATAACACTATTGTTACGTTATTTCATTGGTTGAATAATTTTGGATATCATTATTAGCTACCATTCATCTGTGGTCTCTTTGGAATTCAAAGCATGTACTAAATTTACATTAGTTTTGCTCATTTAGTTTATAGCTCCATGGTTAGTTGGAGCTTGATTATAGCAGAAAGTATGGTAGTTAACTGTTTTCATGTCCCAAAAAGTGGTGAAGAGGAAAGTAAACTGCTATTAAGGAAAGTGTTCCCAAATCAACCATTAGTGCAGTTTTTCTTATTTGCATTTCATGCTATGCATAGATCTAGATATCCAATTAAAACACCTATCCAGATCACTAGTGATTTGGATATGCAATTTTATTGCATATCAGCCTCTTAAAGGAAAAATTATGCCAACTGACAATGCTTCTGGAAAAATTTGCAAACCATTCACTATGAACACTGTGCTGTTTTCCCAATATAGACTAATGAAATAGACAGTTCAGATAGTGAACAGGATGTTGGCAATCTCTATCTGGAGCTGGTCAACTCACTTGGTGCAGGTCCTGGATCATATGGAGAGGAGTTGAAAGAGAAATGGAAAGATGATGAGAGTGACAAAAATGATGAGGAAGAAATTGAAGAGGAAATGGTGCAAACTGAAAGTGAGGATGAAGTTAAGGAGGCCAATAAACAAGTGAATGGAGATGCAGAAGCTGTTCAAAAACTTCAGGTGTGCATTTCAAGACTTTATTTTCATAATTGGTATTTACATAATGATAACGATACTAATAATGATAATAGTGATGGTTGTTAAATATCGAGGAACCAATGATGGTTTTAAATGAGCTGGATTAAACCAGATTTAAAAGAACAACATAACAAACACGTTTATTACAACATGGCAGCTCTCCCAGTTGGGCTGCCTTTCAATGTGCGTGTGTGTAAGAAAACTGCAGGCCAAGTACATTACAATGGTTTATTTACAATATCTTCATCAAATAAAAATAACTCTTCACTTGTTAACATTAAATATACCCATGATAATAATATCCTAAGGGTAGATGCATGTATATGTAATAATTAAAATTGAAAAACAAAATCCTTATTACTTAGTATTATTGATTGTCATGTACACTTAAGTTGCAAGTTTATTGAATTACAACCTGTTAATAATTGTTTCCTTACACTGCGGCAAAATTTACTATAGTCACTGATGATCCTCATTTTTTTAAATCAAAAACTAAAGCTGCTGTATACTCAAAAGTTCATGACTCTTGAGGAGGGTTTAGTGCAGGTGCAGAAGAAGATCTTAAATTATGGGAATTGGCATCATGCAATGATAGATTGCTGGTAAGAAAGGTTCTCACAGGGATGTTTGATTTGGTCTATTTGTGTTCTTAGCTGCGAATTTTAATTTCATCTTTCCACCGCAGTGCAAATATGTGAATTTTCATATATCTAAATCTTCATTCATCGGATGTTTATTTGCTTTTAAAACAAGTCTATTTGTCTTAATTTTCTGGCTAACTTAAGAATTCTTGAAAAAAAAGTTGGGAATGATGAAGTCAGTGAAGCTTAAATATTAAATTATAGGAAGATAGTGAAGGTGATAATGTCAGCAAGGATGTTGATGATGATGAAAATGGCACTGATGAACCTGAAAACATGGCTGATGACTACAGAACAGAAGGTGCTGCAAGAGAAGAAATCGAAGATGGAGAGGAAAAAGATGAAAGCAGTGATACCGATGAAAAAGAAGGAAAAACATCAGTAGGTATGTAATTGAATTGGTTTGTTTCCTGGCTAAAAAAAGTCTATTTTCACTACTGATTAAGAAAAAGTAATATATTCTTATTTGACCGTTTAACTCCCAAGGTCTGATTGTTAATTCTCTCCTTTAGCTGCTACATGTTTCTTTGAAAATTGGCTACAAGAATTTGGTGTTCAATCAAGAAAAATCTTGTACCTGATAAGTTTGAGTAATCTCACCACCTGTTTGCTGGATAATGTATGGATAGTATAGGGAGAATTTACATGTTAATCACTTGCAGGAGTTAAAGGGTTAAGCAGTCTTGAAGACAGTAAGCTCTTTCCAGACCAGTATTCAAGTATAGATATATACAAGGAAGGTTCTTGTAAGAATGAAGTACTTATGTACTGAGAAACGATCTGGTAACCTCCCCTCTCTCATCAATGGCTTGTTTGCTCACTTCAGGCTTTCCTCCTATTTACCAGGCCAAAATAGTAGCATAATTACTGGATAGGAGTATTTAGCGCTGACTGACAATGAAAAACATGCAACACAGGCTTATAACATTGAGCTAATAGGGATGTTTTCTTAGTTAGAAACCAAGTAGTTATTTCTGAATTTTGGTTGAGGACAATTTTGAATCGGTAAGCTTCAAATAAGTCTCACAACTGAAAACTGATTTTAGATAATGTGGCCTAATCCCTTACACCTTAACATCAGTATGCATATTCTCCATCCTGTTCTCTTTACATTTCCTAATGTGCTGAGAAGGAGAATTTGTTGAACAATCAAGGTTGCTTTAGTTGATGATCATTTCCTTTATTCTCATGACCTTAATGTGTGATTCAAGGGTGATATTGTAAGGAGAAATTAGATGTTAGTTGCTCTGAGAAGTCAAAGGGTTAATAGTTAGAACCAATCGTGCATTCCTCTTTAGGATCCCAAGACCCATTTACAGTGCATTTTGAACAAGATCTTTCTGAAACAACAGAGAAGCAACTCAGTGATCTCAGAACTTGGAAACAGACAACAAGAAAAGTGAGTAGTGTTTACACAGACATCTGTGTGATAAGCTGTTTTAATCAGGAAATGGCATTTAAAGAAACATTTGGCAAATTCAGTTAGGTGATTTGATATTGATATGTTACATGATATTCTCTATTAGGAGTTACAGAATAAGACAAAATAAAAAAAAAACCCTAATTAACCTGCTGATAGACTGGTAGATTCCCATTACAGATTTTCTTGTATTTCCCTGTGAAACACAAGGAGAATTTGGTCTTGCATTTAAATTATCTGAAGGTTTTATTTCAGGCACCCTTTCCTTTGCAAGTGTTACCAAAGCATAACTGGCTATTTTAACCTGACCTATAAAATTACCATTTATCCTCAATATTTAATTTTGTGAGGGGGGAGGGGGGTAGGATAGGGATCTTTGGCCATCTGCAAATTTGGGACTGTTGGATTTATCATAATAAAAAAATTATCAGACAAAACCATCATCCAATTCTCCAATTCTGATGTGCAATTCTTTCATTTCTTTTTAGATTCCTTTATTTGGTAATGTTACAGAAATTATTCCAGGAGCTGAAGGCTTACCCACATTACATACAAACATAGAAAAGGAACTTACATTTGCTGATTTGAAGGTAATTTAATATTATTTTGGCATCTCTGTTGTATTTTTTTATGTATGTAAGTTACATCCTTTTAATCAATAGGTATGTACATTCTTGTCACCAGTTTGAGTTGGATGATTTATTGGTTTTTTTGGGGAGAAATTTTATGACAAGACTTTAATTTAAGGGGTTTACTGGTAACACAGGTATTAAGCGACACCACATTAAGTGGTTGCCCTGTATTAACCCTTTACAACCCAAGATCAGTATCTATATTCTCCACACTGTTTTCTATACATTTCCTAAGGTGCTGACAAAGAGATTTTGTTTGACAACCAAGAGCTCCTGTACTTATTGATCATTTCCATTATTCTCATGACCTTTAATGTTTGATTCAGGGTGACACTATAAGGAGAAAATAGATGCTTGTCAGCCTTAGGGGTTAAAGGGTTAAGCATTCGGTTGTCAGAGTCCCAAATTTTATCCCCCTTAGTTGCTGTAATTTTCATTTCTCATAAGGGGTTACCTCTATTTAGTGGTTGTGGTCTTCCTTTACTGGGTCCCAACCGCCTGTTTGTTTAGTCTTTTCTTCATAATACCCCTAATCTATAAAAATTCTTATGAAGCAGTCAACCAGTATTTAGTGGTTGCCTCGCCATTCCCTTCAGATGACCGCTTAATGCAGATTCAACTGTAGTTTTAATTGTTAATTATAGCCGCCTTAGCTACAAACCTTATTTACTTTTCCAGATAAAGTCAAGACTTGCTCATGCATGGCAGGCAATCAATCAAATACCTAACTCTGAAGGTACACCATTTCTACTATATTTTGTTTCACTATATTTTATCTTTTACTAGTATTGTGCATGAAACCTCTGAGCTCATAGTTGCCAATCATTAATGATAATTTAGTGAGCTACAATAAGTGATATTTCTACCATTATGAATATCTCCTTATAACCATATGAGACCTCTTTGTTTCCATCCTGTTGATGGGAACTTTACTCAAGAGGTATGGTCGTGAGAGACTGCGGTTGACTATAACATATATTATAGCTTTAATCTTCATAATTTTTGAGTTGTAGATGTGGAAAGGATTGGGGGGGGGGGGGGGGGGGGGGGGGGGCAAAGTTCTACTTGAAAATTCTTACATTTGTTTTCCTGTGGTAAAAGGTACTAGAAGCAAATTTTTTTTGAAGGATACAGTACCGCTCACATATATGTTAACCGAAAAATGCAAATTAAACATGCCAAAAATCATGTGCAACTATGAATAAAAAAAATCATGCTCATCAAAAAATCACACGTGCATGCATGAAAATACCACATGGCTACCAATGACAAGCAAACTTGTTCATTGCAATCGCAGTTCAAACCGACCTTCCTAATATGCTAGCTCCGCTTTCAGGCTTGGCTAAATCTATATATATTATGCTATTACCAATGCGACTTCGTAATCAGAGTATATAAATGATTTATCATTTTCCAATGGAATTCATTTATAAAAATAGCTATTTCTAACTCTGTATATAGAGACATCCATCGCAACGGTTTGGGAATTTGTTCAAGATAAATTTATTCTCAGTGTAACTTTAAAAAGGCCTAGAAGCTCTTTATTAGTTAAATTTGTATTATCACTCTCTTTTTAAGACTGTTCAGTATTTAATACAAAGAGATTGCTCTTAGTTTATGTGGATTTTTTAAATAATTTGATTTTAAAGTTAGAGTTCTTTTATCAGGGTTGTTTACTCCACTACAGCAAGATCTTTTTTACCATATCCACTCATACAAGGTTAGTGAAAGGCATGTAAAAATGAAATGCTTGGTGCAGAATATTTTGGATTTGAGCTTCAGAGTAATTTGAAAAAATTCTTTGCCCTTTTTAGTTGATTTTTAATTTTTTCTTTCAAGAAACGACAAAAAAATGACTTTGACCCAACCTATATTCTATCAGAATGGGAAAGTACCAGTAATACATGGACTGTGGTTTAGCTGATGAACAAATTGAGATGTCATTATTTTGTATCTGGTGATTTAAAAGTTACACAAGATTTAAAAGTGTTTGCATATACTGTGTCAGCTCTGCTCCTAGGGTGCTTTTCACTTTCTGATTTGCCTTTTTTTCTGATCAATAGATGCACTGTACATAACAAAATGAGAATATAGATAAAGCTCTGGTGCAAAACAACGAAAAGTTGTCATAAATTTGACCTGGAAATACTATTATCATGATACTAATAAAAATTTTGGCATAAAATGCCAATCAGCATTAGAACCCCCTTTTTCATTGTATATTTTTTGTAAGAGAATGGAAACATGGAACACTTGTATGCAGGTTTCTCAGGGGAAGGAGCCTCAGCATACATGTGAGAGAATTCTTGAGCTTTTTACTCTTCTGACGAGTTCTTCCTTCATATAGGATGTTTATTACTCAAGCCGCACCTTCCAGAATGGTGATGAAATAAGAAGGATGTATTGTCTACATGCTGTTAATCACATCTTGAAGTAAGAATAGAAATATTTTTAATACCTAATTTTCAGTTTGGTAACACTTCATAAAAAGTAGTTCGTGTAGTGTGATCGTCCGGGTGAGTGTAGTTCTGAAAAGAACTGTTTTTGGTGACTGACGTTTCGACTACCTGTGCGGTAGTCATCTTCAGAGTCAAGTGAAGAGTAGTTGTCAGTCGATGATGTTATAAAGTCTGGTCTGTTGAACGTGATTGGCTGGAAGACTCGTGTAGAGTTTGTTAACAGTCATTGGTCGGTTTCGATCCGTCTGTTGTTAGTCGGTCTGTTTGTCGGTTTGTTCACGTCGTTAATGAGTCGTTTGTAAGGTGCTGGTAATTGTTGACATCTGTTGAGAGGCGTCTGTTCTAAGTTAGTAAACCAGCTTTCCAGAGTCAGTCGTTGAAAATAGTTTGTACTGTAGGTTAAGCATTTAGCAGAGTTCCAGTCGATTCTGTGATTAGTTTGTCGGTGATGTTCAGAAATGTGATTGTTTACATCGCCGTTTCTAGTTGCTCGTTTGTGTTCAGTTAGTCGCGTGTTAAGGTTTCTACCAGTCTCGCCAATGTAGGAGGCCTGGCAGTCGGAGCATTCGATCTTATAAATCGCTCCCTGTCTGTTGTTGGGTTCGTCTTTGTCTTAAACGTTGGTCAGCAAATGTCGTAAAGTAGTAATAGGCCTGTGAGCTACGCGAATGTTGTAAGGTTGTAAGATCCGCGCGATAGCCTCAGAAGTGCCTTTGATGTAGGGTATAGCAGCTGTAGTCGTAACAGATGTAAAGTCCCTGTTAGTTTCTGTAGTGTCGGTCGCCCTGTGAGTGTTTCGTCTAATGAAGTCAGTGTTGTAGTTGTTTTTGTCAAAAACACGGTCAAGGTACTTGTTTTCGTCAGATAAACTGTCCGGTGTGTTGCAAACAAGTTGCGCTCGTCTTGTCAATGTCTTGATAGTCGTAGCTTTGTGGGAAGTCGGGTTGTATGATGATTCGTCAAGAAGTCTGTCGGTATGCGTCGGTTTTCTGTATATTGTTGTTCGTAGTTCGTTGTTGTTTCGGCCTACCAAACAGTCGAGAAAAGGAAGCTTGCCGTCTTCTTCGATCTCCCTGGTAAACTGAATGTCGGTGTTTTGTTCGTTAAGGTGATTGTGAAAAGCGTCAATTTCATCTTTGTGTACGGCGGTAAATGTGTCGTCAACGTAGCGCAACCAAAGCGGTATGGTTTGTCAGCAAGTTGCAAGGGCGCGTTCCTCGATGTTTTGCATCACAATTTCTGCGACAACAACGGAGATCGGCGACCCCATAGCTGTTCCGTGCAACTGCTTGTAGTGTTTCCCGTTGTACTGAAAGTAAGTCGATGTAAGGCAGAGGGTAAGTAGGTCCATAATGTCTTCTGTCGGTAATGGTAGTGCATCAGTAGACTGTTGGATGGCGGTTTCAGTACACTGTAGAGCCAATTGAAGTGGAATACTGGTGAACAGTGATTTCACATCAAAAGACACAAGTTTGTAGTCGTCAGGTATCTGTACGTCTTTGATAGCGTCAATAAAGTTCTCAGTTGATTGTAGTTTACGTCTCGATTTGTCAGTCAGTGGTTGCAGTATCGTCGTAAGGTATTTCGACAGTTGGTACGTCGGGGACCCACAGAATGAGACTATAGGTCACATAGGTATCCCAGGTTTGTGTAGTTTCGGTAGTCCGTAAAGTTTAGGTGGTTGTGGTACAGAGCACCTCAGTCGGTAGTAGCGTTGAGTGTCAAAGGCTACATCATCACACTACACGAACTACTGATACTCCTGGGTTCAAACCATTTACTTTACTTCATAAAAAGATGCTGCAATTTCAATGGACCCATGTAAATAAAGGAGTGTAACAATGACATAAACTTCATTCTGAATCAGCAGAAAAAAGTTAGTTACTAGTTTTTTTTTGCAATTTTTTAAAGAGGGGAAAGATGGAGACTTGAAGGATAGCAAAACTTTTCTTGGAGGGATCAAGCATAAAGTGTTTTATTACTAAACCTTCCAAGGATGATTAACTGTTGAATATGCCTTCAAGCAATTATACAAATGCGGGTTTCTTTCTCTGATAGCAAATATCTGAGAAATACATCATAAAATTTTAAAATACAAAATAGATCCAACCAATCAAATGAAAGGTCATTTTTTCTCTGATATTAAGGGAGAAAAAAACCAAATATATTTTCCAATTTAACCATTTTTGAGCTGCCTTCAACTGGCTGACTTTACTTACTTGAGGTACCAAACCTCCCCGCCTATGGCTTAAACCATGTGCTAATCATTGATTGCATCCAATTCAATGCGTCCTGCAATGGAGAAAATCAAGGACGCATGACGTGGTAGGCCATGTGATCATAGGCTGGCCAATCACAATAAGTACAAAAGGAGCAAGGGAAATTGCAGCTGTATAACAGTCATAGTTACCTTAAATGATAATAGCTCATATATGTTATTAGTAATATTATTTTTCTTATCATAATAATATTATTATCAGTCATGGATGATCATTCAAATAACTTTATAAATTGAAAAGTTTAGGACAATAGTGCGCTTAATAAGGTTTCACTAAGAAAGCAAAAGCTACATTACAAACATGCATTGCTTTTATTATAAGCAGTTGCATAACCCTTTAAGCCCTAAGAGTGACCAGCATTTAATTTCTCCCTACAATATCACTCCTGAATCACACATTAAGGTCATGAGAATAAAGGAAATGATCACCAACTGAAGAAGCTCTTGAACCCTTTGACACTTAAGAGTGACTAGCATCTAATTTCTCCTTACAATATCCCCTTGAATCACACATTAGGGTCATGAGAATAAAGGAAATGATCACCAACTGAAGAAGCTCTTGAACCCTTTGACACTTAAGAGTGACCAGCATTTAATTTCTCCTTACAATATCCCCTGAATCACACATTACGGTCGCAAGATTGAAGGAAATGATCACCTACTAAAGAAGCTCTAGATTGTTTGACAAATTCTCCTTGTCAGCGCCTTAAGAAATGTACAGAGAACAGTATGGAGAATTTGCTTACTGATGTTAGGGTGCAAAGGGTCAACCTAATTTGTACCCCTTAGGAAGTACTTTTTGTCTGTCTATTTCACCTGAAGTTATAGGAATCAAATGAGTGCGTTATGCAAAACAAACAAACAAACTTGTAGATGTGCAAAATCTGTTGGAAAGTGAGTTTGTGTAATAATGTAAATTTGAGTGACCACCAAAAAATATGTCTCCATTGCATCTTTGATGGAAAATACGTGGAGCGATAAAGTGCTTAAAGTGGGCAAATATGGCTCTTGGAGATTTAGATCAAGCAAGTGTCTGTACAAAATTCAAAGCTGAGTAGAAACAACCTAATAAAACTGATGCAATTTTAGCACACCTTACTTAGAGGGTTGAGATTCTAAAGATTGGTGTAAAAATCGACTTGACTTTAGGGCAACTTTACAAGAAAAAACTCTCACAGACTAAAACAAAAGGAGAAAAAGCTACTGTTCATTGAATTATGTCCAAGTGAAGAACACTGTTTGATGTCATTGTTCACGATACTATTCAGATCAATTTAGAAGTGATTCCTGGAAAACTCCACGTCAGACGTAGACTCCCGCTTTAAATCTGACACAAACATTAAATGCACATTGAGAGCGAGTTTAATGGCTGTGGTTCCGTCGATCGGAAAGTACTGGCGAGTGAAACAACCTATGAAAAATGCTTAAGAATCTGCTTCCGACTGCGGTCACTTCAAGATCGTATTCTATTCCATCCTATTGGTGTGCAGCCACTGCGAGCCACTGAACTCGGAAAATAAACTTTATAGGGGTGAGATCGGCGTTTAAGAAGCCAATTACAGATGCACAGCTTTTGTCAGTCCTTCCCCCTTTTTGTTTTCTTCTTTTTTTTCAAAGGGAAGGTGTTAATCATTCCAGATTACTATTCATCTGTATCGTGTTTTTCGGCGGTCGAGCAATCAATTTTGAGACCAAGAAGGTTGATATAAGAGTCTTTTAAACACTAATGCAAGAAGGCTCATTGCCCTCGAACTGTGTATTTACCCGAGTGCACAATATGCGCGGAAAGCTCATGCACGTAGTCTTAAAATTTGCTCATCTCAGATCTCAGCTGTCATTTGAGTCTGCTTTAGTTGAGGGAGGATGGATGGATTGAGTGAATTTAGGGTATATTGATCAAAAACTGGAGAGTGGCTTTCAGCCATTTCTTAGACTGCCGGTATTTACAGGCTCCCGCCCAGCTCCTCCATCCTCCCCTCAGACCTCTCACGGACAACAAAGCTAAAGTGAACATCCAAAATCAAAAGCGGAAGTAAATTCACTTGACTCCTGCTAGGCAGCCGTTACCAAGATGTTGTCTGTGATTTTTCCCGTTTTCATTTTTCTGGGAAATGTTAACAAAGTCTATTCGCCGACAGATCATATACATTGCGAGTGGTTCTGTACGATTGCGGCTAAAAGTCCCCTAACCGCTTATAAGATGGAGATGTGGTTCAACGTAAGCAAGCGTATCGATCAAAAGTGCGTGGCTAACACGTTATACCGCAGCTTACAAAACACGACCACAACGGGTTACGTCTTCGTTTTACTTTCACGTAAAGAACGTGATTACCATGACGGATTCAGTTTTATGCCGTTTGATGCCATGACAGCTTTGGAACACGTGTTTCAGACAGAGCAAATGAACAATGCATCCATGAAGAATGTCTCCTGTCTTCTACAACCCATGGCAAACCGAGCCGAAATGACTGTTTCAAATGGACTCAATGCTCTAAACTCGCTTCGTTTCTACATTTCTTTTGACAACCAAAGTTGGAATATACCTTTCGCTGGTTACGTCCATTTGAAGGGTAACTACCATATTTCTGTCGGTTTTTCGAATGGGAACGTGTCAGAGGATTACGAACTTACGTTGACTACCGTGTACCGTGTTTTGAGCCTGCTGATTCGGATAGGGTATGTCATATACTTTCCTC